GAGGGATACAGATCCTTGGAAAATAGATGACAGGTTTAGATAGAGGACCTGGATCGGTGCAGGCTTGGAGGGCCGAAGGGCCTGTTCCTGTGCTGTAATTTTCTTTGTTCTTTGATTCAGTGATGACAACACTGCTGGATGCCAAGGTGTGGTGGTTAGATTGTCTCTTATTTGTGATAGTCATAGCCTGGCAGTTGCGTGGTGCGAATGCTCCTTGCCGCTTGTCAGCCCAAGCCTAGATAATGTCCAGATTTTGTTACATTTGAACGTGGCCGGCTTCTGAGGAATCGCGAATGGAACTGAACATTATGCAATCATCGGTGAACATCCCCAATTCTGAGCTAATGATGGAGGCAAGGTCATTGATGAAGCAGCTGAAGATGGTTGGGCCTAGGACACTACTCTGAGCAACTCTTGCAGAGATATCCTGGAGCTGAGATGACTGACTTCCAACAACAATGACCATCTTCCTATGTGTCAGGTATGATTCCAACCACCAGTGAGAGAAATGCAGTTAATGTTTTGAGTCCAAATATTCTTCCGTTCAAAGAATAGTCATGTTGAACTCAAAACATTAAATATTGAGGGATGTAGATAGTTTAAATGAGCAGGCAAAAAATTGAAAGCTGGAATACAATGAAGGTAAATATAAACTTGTCCACTTTGGTAAACAGAACAAAAAAAAAGTGTTAGTTAGATGGAGAGAAATTGCACAGCAGAGGGATCTGGGTACTGGTACAATAATCAAAAAATGTTAGCAATAAGACACAGCAAGTGATTAGGAAGTCAACTGGAATGTTGTAACTTGTTGCAAAAAAATATAAAAGTTGACATAAGCTTATTTGTGATCAATTATTAACAGAGCGACCGTTTGCCCACTTCCATGAAGCAGATTTCCATGTCTTACCAGGAAAGAAATTGCTGTCTCAATTAATTTTTGCTAAGTATAAGTCTCCAACTCTCAGAGTTGATAATTCTCAGAGTTGGCAAGTACCAAGAAACATATCAACTTGGAATTCTGTGAAGGAGACACACATTAGTATTTTGGAAAGTTCCTGATTCCAGAGCCCACTTCCATTAAGGAAGTCCCTGCCCAATATATTTCCTTTACAAGACAATACACAGGTGCAAGATGGGGTTTGTTTCATCACCTCCAATGCCATGCGCCAGGCAACAATGGAAGCAGGCAAAAGACAATACTGTCAGGCTGAAATATCCACTTCCATTTACTCAGACTTCAGTCCATCAATATCAAGCTCTCAACTTTCTCAGCTCCATCCACCCTACAATTCCTCCAATACCCTTCAAATCTCCCCTGCCCCATCAGTATCCCCATTACCCTCTCCATGACGCCTCATAACCCATCCATCCTCCATACCCATCCCAGTACCTATTATGTAAAAACCAATGAGCCAGGTATGGCAAGTCTTTGAAATGATCCAGAAACATTAAGCAAAGGCTTTGGAAAGATCCTTTCTAAAACAAAATGGTTCAATTTACAATCTCAGTCTGTCAATCAAACATCATAGCATCAATGTCAGAAGGCTTCATCCATTTCAGGTATCTTAATGCCATATAAGTAAAATTGGCAGTGAAAAATCTGTTCAAAGAAACATGAAGTTTTTAAGGATGTACATTGATCTTAAAGCAATTAACCAATTTCTTGAAGGGGTCCCATAATTATTTCACTTTCTAACCCATATTTAAACCTCAAAGGGTCACACTGACAAAATATCTCGACTTGAATGAGACAATTTTCTTTCATTTTCAGTGAGCTCTGCAACATCTGTAACATCAAATGTGATCTAATTCTGATTAATGGTGCATAAAGCACCTTTGTGTCAGAGATTTGGGCATCCAAATTAGTCATTCAAATGCTAGATATTGTTGTCCCTCATTGGCCTTCCATGTCTTACCAGGAAAGAAATTTCTGTCTCAAATGATTTTTGCTAAGTATCAATCTCCAGCTCTCAGAGTTGATCCTCCACTAATCACTTTTCTCTCTCATCCCACGGCTTTTACCTGGCTGGGGAGTCTACTGAATGCCTCTGGTAATCGTTATGTCTGTTGCCATCTGTTAATTCTAAATGAAGTTGAATAAAAGATTTTGATAAGGTAGATAGAGAGAAACTATTTCCTGTGATGGAGGAATCCAGAACTTGAGATTACAGCCTTAAAATTACAGCTGGGTCATCAGGAAGCACTTCTTCGCAAAATGGGTTGTGAAAATCTAGAACTCTCTTCACAAAAAGGTGTTTAGGTCAATTAAAATGTTCAAAACTGAGACTGATAGATCTTTGTCAGATAATAACACTAAACGATACAGAATTATGAAGGGAAAATGCAATTAAGATGCTGAGTAGACATGATATAACCAAATGGCAGAACAAGCTTGAATGGCCTACTCCTGTTCCTGTCAAGTGACTTTATTCCTGCCTTTTCCTTCTCTCACTGCACCTCATTTGTGGAGTTCATAGATAATTTACATATTGTGCTAGATAATTTATTCAAGATTACCTGGTACACATAAGCGTCAACCTTACTTCAACATACTTCATAGAATGATACTAAACAGGACCAGGTATTCAGACTATCATGTGTGCACTTGCTCTTGAAACAGGTATCCAGTTAGCACCATTCCCTTATGCTTTTTCCATGGTGATGTACCTGTATCCCTTCAAGCAGTTAGTACTTCTCATAAGTGAGAATCAATCTGCTTCCACCACTCTTTCTAGCAGTGAAATGTAGATCATAGCAACTTGCCGTATAAAAAAGTTTATCATTGTGTCTCTGCTTCCTTTTTATTGCCCAGTCTAGAAAATAATTACCTAGTTTCTTCAGTCTCTCCATGTATTCAAAACTTGAGTATTTCTGACATGTAATGAAGTGCTGTATAAATGTTGTTTCATTGTATCAAGTGTTCAAGTATCACGAAGAAGACACTTTTAACAATATTTCCTTTCTTTTGAGACTAAGGGTCCACTTTCCACGTCAAAAGACAAACAGACACTCCAGAAGTCAGATGGAAACGTGCACTTTACCATTTTGCCTCCCTCAGAATTAGTGCAAACTGTTAACAAGGCACCTTATGAAACTGGTTGCAAGAAGCAGAAGCATAAACAAGCATAACCGAACAGAAGGGAATTACTGTTTTTTGAATTTCTGCTTTTTGTTGATTTATGATATTCTCTTGCCCTATCAATGATAATTGGCAATTTTTATTAGGTCAGAATATTGTGATGTGTAATTTTAAAGAGGTGCCTGCTGGCGTGCTTATTTAATGAACAACTCCCAGGCACACTCAGTAGCCAAATGTCACAGAAAAGTTTCAAAATATTTAATTGACCAACTGTCATCCCACAGGTGTAGGGCAACAGATTTTGGCAAACCACCTCATAAAGTACTCCACAATGGAAGTGGTGGGGGGAGGGGGGACAATATTACATGGAGAGAAAGAGTGGGATGGGAATGAAAACAATGATTTGGTTGTTGTATGGTGGTATAGGGAATATGTGATGCTATAGGATGGGGATTTCAATAAGTACTATTGGAATGAAGACATTAACTGCTCTGCACATGTTTTGTGGGTGCGTGCCAGTATTTATTTCTAAAAAGCACACTGAACAGCCAAACAAGCATAGCACATGATGAAAAAAAACTAGCTAATGTCTATGCTAGGGGATTACAGTAATCAAATGTACACTTACCAATGAGCCAATTCAACTTACCACTAGGGGGTGCTTTAGGTCGTGGGGGTACACTTTTCTTTGGGGGCAGTGCTGGTGTATCTTGTTTACTTTGAAAAGGGTCATCGGTGAATCCATGCCCTCCAAACTGTCCCGAGCCAGAAGTAGCAAAAGGATCTGGATTTGAGGGCTGTAGATACAGTGCAGAGAACACATGGTCAATCCTTCTGTACCTTCCAGGGTCTAATTCATTTCTCAAAATTCAAGCACAATGCTGAATGCCCCCCTCCCCATAGCAAAGATGGGGAAAGAGTAATAAGTAGAACTCAGCTTGTAAGGCAACAGTGATACACCTCCACAAGCTTCTGGAAGAAACCAAAGTTTAATAATCCGCAATGTACCACTGCACTATAGCTGGGAGCAGGGGTGGAATATGAAGGGAATACAAGGAGAGGGGTGAGAGAAGAGAAGAAGCAGGGAGATCTTTCCTTTCTCAGGCACTGGACTGAATAATTTCTTATTCTTGATGACTTCAACTTAATTCATCATGTTCTCTCTCCTCGATTTCACTGCACTCTTATCCTCATGCTAAACTCTCCCTCCAGTTAAACATCCCAAACAAAATGAATGATCAAGCCTTGACTTTGCCATCTTGTGCTCATGCTAGTCCCATTATATCAATCATAGACAACAGAATATCTGATCACTTTCTTGAACTATTATTGATCAAATCCCCTGCCTTCACACACCATACCTTACTCTAAATCCATCCCTGGGAAAAAGCAATCCTCAGTTTACTTACAATTTCTAGCTTTTGGCCTTTTGTTCACCATAATATTTCTGCCATTATCATCCCTGGTACAGCAGTCATCTCCACTCCCCTAAATTCACAGGGCACAGGAACAAAAACAGAATTTGCTAGATAAGCTCAGCAGGTCTGGCAGCATCTGTGAAGAAAAATCAGGGTTAACATTTCAGGTCTGGTGCCCCTTCCTCAGGACTGACAGGAGTTACGAAAACGTCAGTTTATATGCTGAAGGTAGGGTGGGGGGAGGGGGTAAGAAGTAAATGATAGGTGCGGGTAGAGACCAATGAGAGAGAAGAAGAGTAGGACAGACAAAGTAGTGATAACAATCTGGCTAAGAGGGTGAGTAGCTGTTAATGGGGATTGTTGGTGACTAATGTGTGGAATGGCAGACATTTTCCCACCTACCATCAGTTCTGAGGAAGGTTCACCAGACCTGAAATGTTAACTCTGATTTTTATTCACAGATGCTGTCAGACCAGCTGAGCTTTTCCAGCAACTTCTGTTTTTGTTCCTGATTTACAGCATCTGCAGTTTTTGTTCAAGGGGCACAGATTTAAAAGGAAATGATGGACAAATAGTCCATCAGGCTGGACCTCTTAAAACACTGTCGGATTTTGTGCTTTCATTTCATAAAACAGCCCACTGTTCCAGGAACATTTTGGAAGGCAAAACAAACTTTTTTTTTGTAACTCATTTTCTTAAATAACTCTCTCTGCTGCCCTTCCGACCTCACCTCAAAACCTGTGGACTACTTGACACAATCCAACCAGCTGTTATCATGTCTGCTCCATCTCCTAGACCACCTGGCCATCTTCCTTTAATGTATACCATCTAATGAGATATACAGGGGCCTGAAGACTGAAAAAGATGGGGCCTAAAAGGGGAACTGAGGTGGGGCAGAGATTGAAGAGTCAATATGGTATACTTTTGCTTTTCAAAATGCAAGTATGTCCTTCCTTAAATACAAGAGCAAGTCTGCACACTGTGTCCCACGTGCTGATCACCAAAACCTTGAACAACTGTAACAATTCTTGTACCACAACACTGCTGTTTGTCTTTCTCATTGTTTGCTGCCTCCATGCTGTCTGTGTAATTTGTTCAAGTGCTTTGCATGCAAGTTCTTTTAAACAACAATATTTATGACTCTTAAGAAATATTCTGCTTGTTTATTCCTAAAACCAAAGTGTTTAACCTCTCACTTCTTCACATTATACTTAATCTGCCAACTTGTTGCCGACTCACTTAACATGTTTATGTCTCTTTGCAGCACTTTGTGCCCTCTTTGGAAAGCACACAGAACCAAGTGGATTAACACAAGTGACAATCAGAAACTTCTCTATTATGAGGAGATTCTTCAGGTGCCAATGGCAGAAAAGCTGAGACCTTTCACAGACCAAAATAACAAGGCAACGATAGACCTCATTCCTACTTCTCACATGTACCTTTCCAAAATAAGCAAATTCTATAAAATTGACTTGTCAGCCTTTAAATGGCCTAAATGAGCTCATCTAACCAATAAAGGTATTTCTCCAGAGCAGTATGCACCAACATCAGTCAATATTCACAGAAACCAGACGAACGTAAACCACGGGCTCTGTTAAATAAGGGTTCTCCTTTGGCAATTCACTCACAATCTACCCAAAACAAATCATTTCACTTGAGATACTTATCCACTCATGATATTTAACTTGGGAGTAAATAATCTTACAAAGTTTCAAATTCACCTTATCTATTTCTATAAAGACATAACTGGGGTTACTATTTGTACAGATTCACATGGTTACAATGCAAACTTTTATGAAGATTAAAATTCTGTGATTCAATAAAATCACTCAATGAATTCTGGTCAATGCTGAAGCTGCTTTGATATTGGGTTTTAGTTGCTGATCTTGTGGTATGGGTCTTGCAAAGTCTGTAGTTACACAGAAATAAACAAATCAGATTTTCCTAAATATTGGCCAGACACCTTCATTTTTCGCTGGGTCCTGCAATGACACTAATTCCCTGTATGTGACATTGTAATTCAAGGGAGGAATAAGATAAAGGTGGAAATTGGCTTATGAATACAATTGCAGAAAGGTTTCTCAAGAGAGAAATAAACAGTGTGTGCTCAAATCACTCAGCTCCTCTCAACTAGCACCAATTCCCTCAATACCAACCATTATCTTTTATGCAAGATGATCAACATGCCATATGCTCATATCTACCATGCATAACACTACACATTAAAGTGAAATCCTGCATATGCAAGCACCTCCTGTCTACATCCCTGTTTATAATTGAGACAACCTATGTAAACATATAAACTAGTAATTTTCCAATGTAAATAGTAATCTGTTGGTATGTAATGTAGGTTCTAGCGACTTGGTCACAGTGTGATTGAAATCCCAATTCCTCCAACTTTGAGTGGTTTGTTTTAACCCATTTAGTCTTCAAGTTTTATTTTCAGCATCTTATCAATTTGATAACATATTTTAAATATATTTCTCATACTTTCATTGTCTTGCTTCTCTTAGTTTGATTTAGGCAGGCAGTCTTTAGAGCCCCACTCCAGTTCCCTTGGTCTAACCATAGACCTTCAGAACCCAAACCACACATACCAAAACCAGACTGAACCCCTCCGCTAACAAATAAATACATGCTGTAATACAAGTCTCAGGCCTCCAGGGAAAAACTACATATCTTCTAAAGCACTTACTTTATCCAAATTCAGACACAGACATACCATACATTTATAAGGTACAGCGAGTGTTCAAACACATACCTGCAATACAAGACATCCGTAATAATAGGAAACACATCTAAACCTAAAATCCTGATAACTGCAAATTAAACAGAAACAGGAGGTTTCTGATAAATATCAGGTTTATAATTCAGTATAGAGCCAGGCTGAATATAGAAAGCAGAAAAAAGATTTTTTGAACAGTGAAAGGGTATTCCAAGGCTGGTATGTTTAGAGTGCAAAAAGGAATTAGTGTGGAGGATCTAAATAAGCATTGTACATCTGCTGTTAGCAAACAGTACATTGCAAATGTCACAATCAAGAGATAGTTACGATACTGAACAGGATAAAATAAGCAAAGACATGGTACATAAAAGGTTGATAGCATTTAAAATCAAAAAGTCTGAATTGGACCCATACTAGTTTCTGAAGAAAGATTTTTAAAATTTATTCTTGGGACATGAGCATCACTGGCAAGTCCCACACTTATTTCCTATCTCTAAATGGTGGTAGTGAACTGCCTTCTTGAATTGCTGCAGTTCTAGAGGCCAGGTACACACAGAGTGATTTTTTTCCCCTCTGGTAGTTTAATGTGGCACAGTGGTTAGCACTGATGCCTCAAAAGGCCAGGGAGCCGGGTTCGATTCCAGCCTTGGGTGATTGTCTGTGTGGAGTTTCATCATTCTCCTCGTGTCTGCGTCAGTTTCCTCCCACAGTCCAAAGATGTGCAGATTAGGTGGACTGCAGTGGTTCAAGGTGGCAGCACATCACCACCTTCCCCAGGGCAGTTACAGGTGATTCACTAAATGCTGGCTTAACCAGTGATGCCGACATCCTGTGAATAACTTAAAAAAAAAGTCAAAGGTTGTCCATGGGACGAGAAGGACAAAGAGGATAACTTAACTCTGTCAGTCACATGGGTACAATTTAAGACTTACAAAGCCTAATTGGATGAATTCAAATATGGAATTTGGGGAAAAAGGAAGAGTATGGGTGAAACAAACTACAAGGCGATGTTGTTTCGATTATAGGCAGGCATCAATGCAACAAATATTCAACACAGCTGAAGAGTTAAAAAAAAAACTTCCATGTACAGTTGTAATTAGCAACAGATTCTAATCAGAAACACACACTAATAAATAGCAGATGTTTGTAACACCAAGACCAATAAATTAAACAAGACACCTCAGACAACCACATCAAGCACAAAACAAATGTTATTGTCAAGTAAAAGCATTGACGCATGGTACACATAGCACATTAACTTCAGACAAATAATACAGATCCTACTAGCTTAACTAGGCCAACCACAGCAAAACATTTGTTAGAACAGCATGGTTGATGCAAACATTCCTCAGATCACTGCATGTCTCCTCAAAGCCACTTTACCAGGTACAATGATCAAATGAGAAACTTGATAGCAATACTCTCAACCTGTTTGGACAAGTGTTGCTGTAACATCACTTGGAATTAATATATACAATGTGCAACAGTACTGTTCACTAGACTGGGATTAAACCTATACCTACCCTTTTATCACTGGCCTACTGTGCCTACAGGATGCACTACGGTAACTCACCAATGATGATCAAACAGCAACACTTTTCTTGGTAACCTTTACCAACAAAAAGGTTTAGTAGTAGAGATGCCATGGGAGCAT